GGTCATTTACACGGTCCTGGTATTTTATCACCTCAAGAAATGTGATATGTGATGGGCAGTCAGAAAGAAAAAGCTGTGTAAATTCCATTATCTACACCATAGTTTGTAGATGTTATAACTTTCACACAAAGCAATCAATATACACTTATCGAGATTTTTTTTAACCAAAAACATGTAGCAGAATATATTTTGACCTAAATTTGATGAATTTTTAGTTTTTTTTTGGATATTTTTTATGACAGAAATAAGAAAATCTTTTTTTTTTCTTAAAACTTTTTTGGTGTTTAGCGCCAAAAATAAAAAAAGCGCACAAGTGATCAAATACCACCTAAAGAAAGCTCTATTTGTGTGAAAAAAAAAGAATGCAAATTTCATTTAAGTACCGTATTGCATGACCATGTAATTCATAGGTAAATTAGTGCAGAGCTATTTAGCAAAAAAAATAGCGTAAACTGCAGTATCTATACCATAGTTTGTAGACACTATAACTTCACACAAAGCAATCAATATACACTTATTGGGCTTTTTTTGTTGTTGCCAAAAACATGCAGCAGAACACATTTTACTATATATTTTTTTTTTAGCCGAAAGAAAAAAATAATATTAGGTTTTTCTGCAACATTTTCGGTCTTTTTTTTGTTTTTAGTGCGAAAAATAAAAAAAGCGCACAGGTGATCAAATACCACTGAAAGAAAGTTCTATTTGTGTGAAAAAAAGGATGTAAAATTTCATTTGGGTACAGTATTGCATGACAGCGCAATTATCAGTTGAAATAGTGCAGCGCCAAATAGCAAAAAGAGGCTTGCTCAGGAAGGGGGGGTAAATCCTCAGGATGGCAAGTGGTTAAGGGAATCCTTTTTTTTGTTTGGATAGAGTGGGGATTTTATATTGCCATTTGTGCCCGTTGGCTGAAATTTCTCACTACTTTAAGAGCCTATTTGAATAGTGGCCATAGCATTATAGCGGTATTAAACCCAAAACCAAAAATATATTTCAGCTTACCAATCATTAAAATCAGCTTAAAGTGTTAGGCCAGTATCTCAGTGATGAGATGACTAGCGCCTGCACATGCGCAGGAGTGACGTCATTCTGCGCCAGCCAATGAAGATGGCTGAAAACTGGCACACAGAAGATGCTAACACAGGACTTTTGAAAAAGTAATTTTCCACTTTAAAGGAAGTTGGAAAAAAAAAAAAAAAAAACACTATAGATTTGCTGGGCAGATCATCAGGTGAAAATGAAAGGAAAAAGCTGAAAAGAAGAAACCAATACAAGCACCATATCTAAGGATTGGTAATCTGCAAAATATAACATTTTTGGCTCTGGACTAAATACTGCTCTAATTCTAGGTTTTTATACATACGAACGAATGGCTTGTTTAGTATCGTTCCATAATACAATAAAGCTTAGCATGCTTGGTTATTATGGTTCTGAATTGTTTCTCGTGAAGGACACCTAGGGGTTTATTTGTAAAAATTCTGCAGAGCAATTCCTCCTGTGAAACTACATGCACATTTGTTCTGTAATAATGTGGTAAAAACAAAAATGTTATTAGGCCAATTTTCTCTCCAGATTACAGAGTGAAATAGGAAAAATACATTTTTTTCCTAGATGGAGGCTACAATCATAGAAAATAAATATTCCATCTAGTGGCCAAAATGCAGCATATTCCTAATTTGCTCTATTCTGTGTTATTGAAAATCATGCAACCTGGTGAGAAAAAAAAAGCCTAAACATTTGTTTTTCACCCATTTGCATTGAAAGTGTACATGCAGTTTCACAGGATGAAAAGTTCTGCAATTTTTTTTTTTATTTTTTATATAAATAATACACCGCTTGCTTTCTTATTTTTTTTTTTATGTAGTGCATTCATCTCTATTTCTGCACAAAAAAAAAAAAAATGATATAACAAGGGTAACCGATAACACAAATGTGCATAACTTTTCCAGTAGAAGCTACATACTGTATAGTTGCATAGCTTAAATCATATGAAGGGGCAAAGCCCTGACAGTTTAAGCTTAGAATTACCTTATTAAGGCATTTAAAGATTTTTTTATTTTTGGATTTAAAATTTAATGCAATTTTATAAGATATAATAAAAGCTGAAGATTTTAAAAATATTAATACTTGCTGATCCTGCCATGAAGGTTTTTGATTAGGAACGGTTACAGGGTCACAATGCTTTGCCCCTCCCTTGTAATTGTGCTTCTTGCATTGTCAGCCTGTTACTCAGGGTTCCAGTGGAGAGTACAAGTGGCTGTTGCAACATACAGCTATAATCCACTGTCATCAGCATCAGGAACACTGCCTCTACAGGATATGTTCACCTTTTAGAACATGTTACACCCATATTTAGGGTGTAACATGTTCTAGTTGCCCCTCTCTCCTCTTCAGCGCACCCCTCACTTTCACAGCAGGTGGGGGTTCTTCCTGCGCCGATTCACACATTTTTAAAATGTTGCAGCTGTGCAGGACTCTGCCCACACAACTACATCATTCATTCACAGGAATCTGTGAATGTAGAAACTAAAGTCCCATCTGGCACCGCAGAAGACAGATTTTTAGTTTAAATGAACTGCGAGAGCTCTGATCAGCACACCTGTACTCCATTCACACCCGCCTTTCTCAACCAGGGTGCCTTGAGGTTTCTTCAGGGGTGCTTTGGCAAAATGTCTAAAAATTGCCCAAAACTTATAAACAAGCCAGTGGGTGGACAGGCCTACATTTTAGTTAAGAAATCACCTCTAATGTTGGGTGTCCTACAAGTGTGGATGTTGCTGCATTATAAAAACTATTAGAATAGTTTCACATATTTTAGAATGGGGTGCCCTTTTAAAATTATGGACAGTCTTCAGGCACCCTGTTTTAGAATGGGGTGCCTCAAGACTGTCCATAACTTTAAAGGGTGCCTCGGGACTACCCATAATTTTTAAAGGGCGTCTTGACTGAAAAAAGGTTGGGAAACATCTATTCACACTGCCTACAGCTCTGAAATTGACAGTCCACACAAAAAAGGTATGGACACAGCTGTAGGAAGTGTGTGCAGAAGCCTGACATTGCAACTGCGATCTGCTGATCACGGGTGCAAAACTTTGCATGCTCCGGTTTTACAAAAAATAAATGCTTATTTTGTTACCTGCAAAAATATACATATTTTTTTTTTTTTTAAATTCAAGGTAAACTTTGCCTTTAAAAATGTCATGCAGACCTCCCTGGAGTGCATGTATGTAGGCAGGAGGTGGCTGCAGGAGATCAGCACCACAGAGATGCAAAAAAAACAAAACAAAACAAAAAACAAACCCATACAAGAATTTTATTTAAGTGAAACAGCAACTGTCCATGGCATACAATACTTTAGCAAACGAATGCAATTCAGTTAGGGTTTACGTCTTCAATTGCTTCCGCCCATTCCTCACCCTTTTACACTTTTTTTTGTGATCAACGCCAATTATATCTTGTTAATGGAGCAGTCCATCAGCAGTTTTAATGTAATGATCCTTCTATGGCCTGGTGGTTTGTAAACTCTGCTATGCCATAAATGTTTAGACATTATTCCCTGTTCTGTATATATTGGTACTGAAGGATGTAATAAAAATTGATTTGAACAATAAGTCAAACTGTCAAACGAAGATGGATAGAGTCATTTGTTGTAAACGCTGATTCAAAGAATGCACTGCATAACAGGTTTATGTGTGGTGGACAAAACCCCAGTTATGCCGATTAACAGAATAGTGTGAAAACTGAGCAGCTGTCCCAAAGTAGTCAAATGAATTTAAAGAATTTCCATTTTGGATAGCGTAATGGATGTTTTTTTTTTGCCATCTGTCTCCCATTAGGGAGATTTTCCTTTATCTCTTGTCCCAGAGCCAAATCATTGGAAGATCTCCCCTCTATTATGGTTATGGGGACCACCCAAAATTAGGGAGATTCACCCTATTTGTCCAGTTTACCAACATAACCAAAAGGGAAAGAAAATCCCAATTGGAGACTGAGACAGCAATAGACAGCAAGTCCTAACAAGTGTTCAAATCAATCTCCACTCTCTACAAAATAAAATAAAAAAAAAAAAAAAAAAAAACTTGCCTCTGCACATCTTGCAGTTTCCTAGTCCTCAGAGGCAGTGGATGGAAATTTTTTATTTTATTTAAAATGGTAAACCTGTCAAAACGCTTCCTGTCTTGAGGTGGTCATGCTTATTCAACTGATTAGATTTGAGGAGAAGCAGTGTTACCCTGGGACAGGACTGTAGAACACCCAGCTCTCTTATTCATAACTTAGTGGAAAGTACACTATCTGCAAATACAGAAAAATACCTGTTGATCCTGCCAAAATCCAGTGTTCTTGTAACTTGAACATCAGAACATCTCCTACCCATGTAATGAAGAGGAGAGGGGGGAATGTTTAACAGTCAAGAGAGAAGCCTAGTGCAATGATGCTGCCCCTCCATGGACACAGTACAGCGAGTGTGTTACCGACAGGATCATCAGGTAAACAAGGGAAACACGTGGGAAGAAAAAAAAAAAATCAAACTGATGCAACCATCACATCTAAGGACTAGCACGCTGCAATATAAATTCTATTTGGGTTTAAATAGACTTTTAAAAAAAAGGCAAAAAAAAAAAAAAAACCCACACCGCACAATTTGGTTGCACTGGCCACTAAAGTTTGTCACTTGTAAAACTATTTTCATAGGTCTTTGCATGAGATAGTATATATTCTATTCTATCAAAATAATTTTTTTAACCACTTCCCATCCGGCCGTTGTATATAAAAACGGGCCAGACGGTGGCAGTGCAGGTGGCCGTTTATAAACAGCCTCCTCGCCCCCTGCTTGAGTGTGCAGCACCGCGATTCGGTGCCCGCTGTGTCCTCTGGACACAGAACACCGATCGTTGTACGGGACCTCTGTGCGAGGTCCCGATCATGTGATCACTGATTGGCCAATCAGTGATCACATGAAGAGTAGTAAGCAAGATGTCACTTCTGACTTCATTGCTTACTACTTGTGAAATCTGTGAATGATCACAGAGGTCACATGATACAAGGCTATTCACAAAAGCCTTGTACCATGTGACAAGCTGTGACCAATCAGAGCTCTCACAGTATTTCTCAATGGCTGCAAGAATACAGCCAGAGAGGAGGAGAAATGATTGCTTTTACAGCCCTTATGGGTGTAAAAAAATAGAAAAAATAGAAAATGTAAAAATTTTTTTTTTTTTAATTATAATTTTTGGTTACAAACTAATTTGGGTTATTTTTTTTTTACTAAAAAGATAACTGAATAAATTTTGGCCAAGAGGAAGAAAGATTATTTGCAAATTTTATAAGAAAAAAACTTTTCAAAATTTTTGGATTTTTTCATTTATACAGTAAAAAAAAAATAAAATAAAAATCCCAGTGGTGAATAAATACCACCAAAATAAAGCTTTTTCTGTCTCAAAAAATGCATATGGGTACAGTGTTGCATGACCGCACAATTGTCATTCAAAGTGTGACAGCGCTGAAAGCGGGCCTGGGCAGAAAGGGGATAAAAGTGTCCGGACTTAAAGTGGTTAAGAAACTACTTGGGCAGTTTTCAGTGTAATCTAAATATACTATCTACTCAACCAACAAGGACAAGACAGGAAGGCGCTTCTAAGTGCAGTATATCAAGATTGACGTTAATAACAGTTAGAAACACTTACAAAAGTAGTGGTAAAAAGAGGCTCTGTATGATCCATCAGGATTCGGGGGCTCGGTCCACCGTGCAAGAACCCACTGTGCCAACCAGCAGCTGCAGGGGGAGCAGAGGATGAGATGATAAAGATGGCTGCCGCTAGCTCCAGGGTTGCTGGAACACACGCTGGAGCGCATGCTGTCCAGGGGACCGCAACCGGAAGTGATGCATTTCAGAGCATGCACAGAGCTCCTTCTTAAAGACCGATGCCAAAAGCCAGGAAGAGCCGAATAAAGAGGAAGGAGGGGTGACATGAGGGGACGAGAGTAGGCGCCCCCCCCGAAGACCACTTTGTCTAACATACCCATTCATCCAACATGGTCAAAAAGAATAACAGAAAAAAGGTAAAAAAAAAAAAAAAAAAAAAAAAACACAAGATTACTGCATTACACACATGTTCCTCAGAATTTGTAACATTGTACTACTTTGGGGAAGTGATCAGTTTTTTTTTTTTTTTTTTTTTTTTTTTTTTTTTTTTTACACACACAATTTGCTTATAGCAAAGAATTACTTTGCTATAAGCAAGCATTTACCTGAATGACCGATTCATTCAGGTTTTTTTTTTTGTGCTTAGCTGTGATTTGGCCACAGCTAAATCACATGACATGTGCATGGGGATTGCTGTGACCATTCACAGCTAGACACTAGTATACAATGGATAGCATGAATGAAGCCATTCGTTGTATACAACTGTCATGTGACGCGCTGTGATTGGTCACAACGGGGCCGGTACTCAAATCTGTCATCGGCTGTGTCCGAGGTACATGGCCGGTGTCAGATCGCGCCGCTACATGGCTCTGCAAGCGCGCAAACTGCGCATGCCCGGGAAGACGCCATATGGCGTCCACCCGGAAATCTAATGCATTTTTCCGGACGCCAAACGGCTATTGGCCGGGCGGTTAATGGTTAAGAAGAAGCTCTGCGCATGTTCCGAAACATGTCACCGTTTCACACCCACATCACTTCCGGTCCCCTGGACAGCATGCGTTCCAGTGACTCCGGAACTAGCGGTGGCCATCTTTGTTATCCCATCCTCAACTCCCCCCTGCAGCTGCTGGTCGGCACAGCGAGTTCTCGCACGTTGGATAGAGCCCCCACATCCCAACGATCATACAAAGCCTGTTTTTACTGCTACTGTGTACGTGTTTCTAACCGTTGTTATTAAAGTCAATCTGGATATACTGCACTTAGAAGCGCCTTCCTGTCTCATCCTCCTCCACACACAGGAGTCTGCTTCAACTCCTAGAAGTGCTGCCCAGTGCCTGTGTCCAGATCCTCATCCATCAATGGCTGACAATCCTCTGTCCACAGCATCCTCATTGATGCGCCCTACATACCTACTTTAACCAACAAGATGAAGGTCACCAGTTATACAACACAGGTCAGTAAATAAGAGAATGGACAGTATATCTGAGGAAGAAGAGATCGTTCGTTTAAAGCAGAACTTCACTCTCTCAATCAACATTAATTATGTGCAATCCTTATGATGCTGGCATTAGAAACAGATAGGAAATTAGATTTGTTTTTAAATTTTGGTTAGTTGCTTCCTGGCCTTTGCAAATTATGTCATACATCCCAGGGGTCTTCAAGGAGGGGAGGAGGGGTTTGCTCAGCTAAGCACACCCTCCTGGTTGCATGCCTGAACTAAGGGCAGATGGATTCCAGCACGTAAATGCTACATGAATCATCTATCCTTATTCAAGATGGTCACAGCCAGAAATGCTGAGGGTGTTTATGAAACAAAAATAAATCATGGAGACCTGGATGGTTGGGTGAGTTTGCTTTGTGATGCGCAGATGCAATGTCGTTATGCTTTAATGTGCAGCTGCATCATAAAGTAGACCTCTCCCTCCAACTGCTAAAAATCACAGCACCATTCAGCTCTACATGTGGATATGAAATTACCTTACATTCACAAGTTAATATTTTTTGCTTTTACTTGCAAATTACTGTTTTCAACTAGATGAGTGAGGCACAGGTTATGTAACCCTGGCCTAACAACTGTATCCTGGGAACTTCCTGTGACATCTCAGGAGGCAGACCCAGAGTTCCAGGCATAGTTCCAGGAAGTAAAAGGGAGGATTTCATCTTCCTTTAGTTGAAATGGCTACCATGAGAAGAATGAGGAGGAAAAGAAAAATAAATTAAATTATGCAAAGAATAAAAAGCCCGCAATTATCTATAAGCATCTGTTTGTTGATTGCCATTATTAAACATTTTAAAATGTGCCTTTGTAAAATGCTTAAAGAGGAACTTCATAAAAATAGCAACAATCACCCAACACACGTGCAGCAGTAAAAGAGTGGGCTTTACCGCCCACGTGCTACACGTGTCGCTGGCGGGTGATGTTTATGTGGGAGAGCAGTCACAGTGGTCACCAGTTCGCCAAACCTTCCAACTACCCCCAGGAATTCAGAACTATTTAAAAAGGGACACTGGGGTTGGGTGAGAGGGTAAAACCAATATGAAGGGCTTCCTGTAAAATATGACACACAAGGTACAGATTTGTATTCACCCAAACAAAACTGCCATCACTTACTATCTTATAGGCTGGAATTGTAGATAAAGTCTGTTTCTCCAAATAAGAACAGCATTTATCTGTTCCAGGCTTACCTGCTGGTGGCAATTGTAAAATCCTCTATTATTCTGAATTGTATTTATATACAAATGTCAAATTATTTGCTTGTCTTTAAAGAAACGATTGGTCTTTAAACATTTTCAGACATATTCATGTATATTGTCATGTGCAGTCACCAAATCCACATATCCTACCATCTGACCTCTGTCTACCTTATGACTAACTGCTAGCTGTACAGCCTTGTGGTATCTATAGCAATGGGTAAGTATCGCCGACTCTTTAGCCAACCTATTGCTTTTTCAGTGCCGCATGACAGGTCCACTAACATGTCTCAATAGCTTGAACAGTGTCATTGCTTAAGGACAAGAACTATCATTTGATTTAAAAACAACATGATGGCTGGCTGGTTGCCCAGTCATATTTGATAATTCCTCAAAAGGGTTTTAAACATGATGATTCATTAACCGCTTATTAGACTGTTCCTACTTATAGGCACTTTAAAGTGGAAGTAAACTCCCACTGGACACTTGTACCTACAGGTAAGCTTACCTGTACGTACAAGGAATAGGTCCTAAACATACACCATATAGGAGATTTTCAGTGTCCCTGCAGCTGATTAGGTCATACCTGTTGTAGCAATCATGCACGCAGAGATAGGACGCGATCATCCATTTTGCTCCAAACCCCTCCATATTGTATCTCGCTCTCCCAAATCAGATTCCTCCAACACCCCCCCCCCCCCCCCCCCCCCCCCTCTCTGTTGAGTGACATGTGGTCTGTTTGTTGCAGAGATCACAGGCAGCAAACTCAATGGGAGGGCGTCATGGCTATAAAACCCCCAGCCGAGCTGGTGCCTGTTAGCTCGCAATCTGGGATATCGTAAAACCATAAACCAAGCCCTCACGGAGCATCAAAAGACATGCCCGGGAGTCATAAAACGGACTTACATTTTAAAACCCAGTTTTCCATATAATTTATATCTCCAAATAGGAAATAATTACACAAACATGGAGCACATATTCGGATGGCTCACTTTAAGTCGCCTGGTATATTACACCCCCTAGCTGGCATATACAGGAGAGCAGAAAATTCTCTCTCTAACCATCCAAGCAGGTATCTCATATTTCATATGTAGACGATCCGCAGAAGATTCTGGGTATTAATCTACTCGTGGATAGAATGTTATATGTACCTAGGAATAGTATAATTTGTGAAGGCTTTGGTCATAGCCTGAGCTCCCTGCCTACACAACCCCCTACCCAAATGAGGCGATTGGTTCTCTGCTTCAGGGAGACACCCTGCGGAGTTCCTAGATAAAGGCTGTGGTGCTTGAAGTAAAGCTAAGCTGAGTTGAGAAAAGTTGAAGAATCTCCCTTTTTAACATCGGAACTAAATTTGGGAGATAAGACCCCTTTGGCTCTGAAACCTGATCTGCTTAACCCAGGCTGACGGCAAGTACTTTATCTCTCTAAACTTCTGTTATCTCTTTGCTGTGATATTTTCTCACACACATTGTGTGTGTATGTATATATACAGTCAGGTCCATAAATATTGGGACATCGGCACAATTCTAACATTTTTCTTTATACACCACCACAATGGATTTGAAATGAAACAAACAAGATGTGCTTTAACTGCAGACTGTCAGCTTTAATTTGAGGGTATTTACATACAAATTAGGTGAACGGTGTAGGAATTACAACAGTTTGCATATGTGCCTCTCACTTTTTAAGGGACCAAAAGTAATGGGACAATCGGCTTATCAGCTGTTCCATGGCCAGGTGTGTGTTATTCCATCATTATCCCAATTACAATGAGCAGA